GTCAAACATAAAACGCTTTCAGTACTTGAAGAGCAGTGTAAAAGGAGATGTTAAAGCGGTTTCAATACTTAAAGAGCAGTGTGAAAGGTGACGCAGAGCAACTCATAATAAGTTTCCCTACCACGTCGGAGAATTTCGATCGCGCATGGACGACCTTGACTCATCATTACGAAAATAAACGGTTACTTCTGCGTTCATATCTCTCGGCTTTCACATCGCTCGGAAGGATGAAGCACGATTCTGTCGCTGACCTTCGTCGAATCTTCAATCGGATGATAACTACTGTCGGAGCGCTGGAAGGAATCGGACGTCCTATCACCAATTGCACGGACCTTTTCGTGCACCTCATCGTCGAGCTTCTTGACTATCGAACTAAACAAGAGTGGGAAAAACTGTTTACGAAAAAATCAGACCCACCTTTCTATGAGCAGCTGCGTGACTTCCTCGAGGATCAGGTGCTGAAGCAAGGTGTGCTCCGTCCCAAGGCCTCACAAGGTTCTTCTGGGAAGTCCTCGGAGAAGACCACTCGTTCGTTACGTACTCAGCAGCAGCCTAAGCGTGGAGCAGAGTCCAATCGGAACTGTCCTATCTGCAAGCAAGAACATTACATCATGATTTGTGAGCACTACAAGTCACGGACACCGCAAGAGCGAAAGGAACTCGTAAATACTTACCGTCTGTGCATGAACTGCCTGGGACGTCATAAACTCACGGAATGCCCGTCAACCAAGCATTGCGGTAAGTGTACAGCTCGGCATCACACGTCGTTGCATGAGACATTTGTCTATGCCACCGCAATTTCCGCTGCTTCAATCCACGTGGCAGACCGGCCGACGATTGAGTGCACGCCCGTGTTGCTCGCGACCGCGCGCGTTCTAGTGACCGGTAATGATGGTGCTCTGCACACAGTACGAGCGTTGGTGGATCCCGGGTCGGAAACGTGTCTCGTGGCGGAGTCCTTGGCGCAGCGGCTGCGTCTGCTACGCACACCCACAGCAGTGGCGATCTACGGTGTCGGAGGCCAGCAAACCGGTGTTTCGCGGGGACGAGTGTTGTAGCCCGCGAGTGCTACCACAATTAAGTCTCGCATTTCAGCCTAGCAACGAGCTGGCGGAAATGCAAGGCTGCAAATTCCATAACGCGTGCGGACAACGATCACTGATCGAACGCAAGCAATGACCGCACGCACATCGAACGATTATTAATAAAAAGCAAATCTTGCACTTCGACAGGACAACGAACTGCCGAAATACAAGAGGACGAAGTCCGCGTTGCACACGGCACGAATGCCGCTAGTTCGATGACTCCGCGACGCCTATATATTCGGCGTTCTAAGGACCGGCGAGAAAGTCTTGTCAAACATCTAAACGTAACGATACGTTACGCGCGTCGCGAGAACCGAGTCATATTACATCCGCGATAACGAGTGTCGCCGACCGGTCTAGGTCACGAGTGAGGACTTTAACCCGAATATATTCTTTAATTAAATCAATTCGACAATTGTAACCAACTATTCGAATTGTAACATAAGCAATTAACCACCAAAGTGTAATCATTCAATCGGGTAATTATAATAATTAAATAAAGGGTTACGATTACTTAAATAAATGTAATCAGTGGTAATAACCACTCGAAATTGTAAGTGTTATAATAAATAAAAGGGGTTATTTTAATAAAAGTGTGGTGCAGTGTGTGTTTGTTCTACGACCTTGATCACTTTCCTCGTTTTCCTCATGGGTTCCAACCCTTTGAGCGGATCGAATCCCAAATTAATATCTGGTTGCACCGAGAGGTACAACACGAGTCTCTCTCTCTCTCACGTCGCGTGTCAATGCCGTATCCATAAAGATCTCCGCTCTCGTGTTTCCGCGTATCACAGATTACGGTGGTGTTGCTGATCGGCGCAGCTGTGCACGGACACACCTACAAGGCCTTGAACTGGCAGATCCTGAGTTCTACAATTAGGATCCTGTGGAACTCTTACTAGGCGCAGACGTGTACGCCCATATCGCACTGTCCGGCATACGGAAGGGCGGTTCATTTGAGCCCGTGGCTCAACACACTCAGCTCGGCTGGGTTTTACTGGGCGCCGCAGGCGTTAGCAATACCTGCTCAATTGTCGCGTTCACCTCGTTGTGTTGCTCGCCAACAGACGAATTAACCTCCCTGGTGCGTCGGTTTTGGGAGCAATAAGAACTGCCGCAATCTCCGGAGCCGTGGTCTCCTGAGGACCGCGAGTGTGAAGAACACTTTAAGCAAACGCACATTCGAGACTCCGGTGGTCGCTATCAGGTGCGCCTTCCAGTGCGACCAAGCATTACTGATCTTGCGGACACTCGTCGCTTGGCTGTAAGGATGCTCGCCGTGATGGAGCGTCGCTTTGTTCGCTAGCCGACATTCCACGACCGCTACCGCGACTTCATGCGCGAGTATCTCTCGCTGGGGCACATGTCCTACGCCGTGCCATTGCCGTCGGACGCCGCGCGAGTGTGTTCCTGCCACATCATGGGGTATACAAGGGAACGGGCGCCGAGAAGAAGATCCGAGTTGTCTTCAACGGATCGGCGAAAAGTGGTCAAGGATCCTCCTTGAATGATTGCCTGATGCCCGGCCCGAATCTGCTACCTACCTTGTCAGACGTGGTTTCTCGCTGGCGGTGTCATCGTTTCGTGGTCTCCACTGACATTGAAAAGATGTACCGACAAATCCGGGTGCATCCAGAGGACCGAAACTTACAGCGAATTCTGTGGACAGAAAACGGACAGCCATTAGAGTTCCGTTTGAACACTGTCACGTACGGACTTGCCTGCGCGCCATACCTGGCGATTCGCGTGCTGCGACAACTCGCTGACGACGACGGAAAGGAGCTCCCCTTGGCTGCGGAGGCACTGAGGCGAGACACCTACGTGGACGACATCCTTTCTGGAGCCGCGACCTTGACGGAGGCAGGAATGCTGACGGACCAGCTAGTGAGACTCTGCATGGCGGGCGGATTCCCGCTGAGAAAGTGGTCCGCCAACCACCCTGCCTTGCTTAAGGATATTCCGGCAGAACATCAGAGCAGGAAGTCGTCAAACACTTTGCTGCCCCCTGAGGGTCAGATGGTCTTGGGTCTACGTTGGGAAACAGAAAGCGATTGCTTCGCATTCACCGTGCACAAGTCGATCGGAGAATCACTCACTAAACGATCACTACTTTCGAACGCGTCTCGCCTGTTCGACCCACTGGGCTGATTGGCACCGGTTACGGTACTCGCAAAGCTGATCATCCAGTCAACATGGTTGCAGCAACTCGGGTGGGATGATCCATTGCGTGACGAGGAGGCTGCAGCGTGGACCTCGTTGAGGGATCAGCTTCCCCTCATAGAGGACGTTCGAGTTCCTCGATGGATGCACATCGACTCGCCAGGAGTCAAAGTTGAGGTCCATGGCTTCTCGGATGCTTCGGAGCGAGCATATGGTGCAGCCGTGTATCTTCGCGCACTCAGCGATGAAGGCATCACCATCTCCTTGGTGATGGCAAGGACCAAGGTCACGCCGTTGAAGCGAGTGTCAATGCCGCGGCTAGAGCTGTGCGCAGCCTCCCTTTTCTCCAAGCTTGCTACGCACGTAGCTTCCACGCTCGGCTTGAACAGGTGTCGAGACGCATCTGTGGACGGACTCCACCGTGGTCTTGGCCTGGATCCGTGGACATCCTGCGAAATGGACAACCTATGTGGCCAACCAAGTAGCGGAAATTCAGAGAACAATGTCAAATGTCACTTGGCATCACGTACCTGGACGAGAAAATCCTGCTGACTGTGCTTCCAGGGGGCTGTCACCACGTGAGCTGCTCTCTCACTCATTGTGGTGGCGCGGTCCAGACTTCCTACGCAGAGAACCATCTGGATGGCCAATGGACGCTGGCTCTTCATCATTGCAGAGCTTGCCAGAGCAACGGACCAAACCTTGTCTCGTCGTGACAAAGTTGCAAGAACCGGAGGAGCTAACCCGGTTCTCTTCATGGCAGCGATTGATCCACGTCACCGCCTGGATTCTCCGCTGGCGACGGCAAGTTTCGTGCACCTCAGGACCACCAAAACAGGCTCCCATCCTCGTCTTGACTCCGGCCGAGCTGGAACGGTCGACGCAGCTGTGGATTCGGGTGGTGCAGTCAATTGCATGGCGTTCTGAGCTGGATTCCATCGTCGCAGGGAGGGAACTACCCCCTCGCAGCTCACTTCACAAACTCTCGCCAAGGATCGATGACCATGGGGTACTGCATGTAGGCGGCCGTCTAAAACATGCAGTGCTGAGTGAGGATCAACGCCATCCGGTGATCCTGCCTCCAGGATCTCACTTCACTTACCTGGTCGTTGATGCCTTCCATCGACGCATTCTCCATGGGGGCACTCAGGCTACCTTGACGGCCATCAGAAGACGCTTCTGGATTCCTCGCGGGCGACAGCTGGTGAAGCGTCACATCCATCGATGTGTGCAATGCATAAGATGGCGGGCGGCTTCTCCGCAGCCGATGATGGGCAATCTTCCGAGATCAAGAGTGACGCCCAGTCGGCCATTCTCACACACCGGCGTGGATTTCGCAGGACCAATCCTTCTGAGGACATCTAAAGGCCGAGGTCACAAGGCCTACAAAGGATTCTTGGCCGTTTTCGTTTGTTTTAGCTCCAGGGCCGTACATTTGGAAGTGGTGAGTGACTACACCACTGAAGCTTTTCTTGCAGCCTTCCGACGCTTCACTGCTCGACGCGGCCTATGCCAGGTGGTCTATAGCGACTGCGGAACCAACTTCGTAGGAGCAGACGCTCAGCTGCGCACCTTGTTCGACGCGTCCAGTCAAACTGCTCACCAGATCATCGGAAAGTTGTCCACGGAGGGGTCCGGTGGCACTTTAACCCGCCAGCCGCTCCGCATTTCGGTGGTCTGTGGGAAGCAGCGGTAAAGTCAGTAAAGCATCACCTCAGACGAGTCATCGGCGAGATCACACTCACCTACGAGGAGATGGCCACATTCTTGGCGGAGGTGGAAGCCTGCTTGAACTCGCGTCCACTTCAGGCTTTGACAGATGATCCGGACGACCTTGACGCGTTAACTCCTGGGCACTTCCTGATTGGAGCTCCTCTCATTGCCATCCCGGAACCATCGTTACTGGACACATCGTCCAATGCGCTGAGTCGCTGGCGCCTCCTGCAAAGTATGCGAGATCATTTTTGGCATCGATGGTCTCAGGAGTACTTGCAGGGACTGACCCCACGACCTAAATGGTGGAGGGTCGCAGGAAACTTACAAGAGGGTCAACTGTGCCTTCTGAAGAACGAAAATACGCCTCCATCTCGATGGCCGCTGGCCCGGATTACACGCCTGCATCCAGGAGACGACGGCCAGGTACGCGAGGTGGACGTGCGGACTCCAACCAGTAGGCTGACACGACCTGTCGTGAAGATCGTCCCCTTGCCACTGGCTAGGGAGGACCAGGCCACTTCACAAGGTTAAAACATCCCTGCAGTTCTCGCAGTATTGTGACACCAGTGTCATTATCATTGTAAAAATTGTAAATAGTATATACGTAACCATTTACTTACCTTGTAAAATTTTTCGCGCCCACTTAGCGGTTTGCTTTATTTTTTCTCTTTTTTTTGTTTTGTTTCATTTTTCTTTATTATCACGAACTATTATCGCGTAATCAGTTTGCGACATTTTTTTTTGCTATATTAATGCAGAGAAAATATAAGGGACTCATTTTTTTTTGTATACCTGTCAAAGGTTATGAAATCAACATTATTCGCTGTTACTTTACTACTTAAAAGGCGCCTGTTATTCTCATTCAAGAGCGCTAGACAGTAATTCACGTGCGTCTTCCTCTTTATTTTTTCCGTGTGCTTAGTACTCACATTACCACGCGACTTCTTCCCATGCAGCTTCGGATGCTGTGATCAATATCTCGCTGGCCTCGACCTTCTGTCATCACTGCAGGTAGAATTAAGCTGGAACCACTTACGGTTATCACTTACAATAACGTCGCACGAAAGCACTTTTACTTAATATCAATCAGTTGTTCGGTTCGTTACGCGGTCACTACGTACAAGCGCCGCGTGCCATGCGAATCGAACAGATGAGTTGCCAACGCGCGAGACTTATTGACACATGCGATCATTACGCCATCGCCAAACATTGGGAAAACAATTTCGTCGGTACTTAGCGATACCCGACGAAGCGGGCGGAATGTTTGGAAATTCGGCGTGCTTTCCGTGAGAGCGCCCCGCCAATCGCGAGTCCGCGTGGTTGCGCTAACAGCGCACCCAATGTAAAAGCGATCGGCCAATTATAGACTGCCAGCGTATACCGCTGCAGCCTATAATTTTAAAGTATGAACATTGTTTAGTATACATTTAAATTCAACCTGTTGAATTCTAGAAGCTTCATTATTATTATTGTTCGTCCTTTTCGACAAAGGAAATTCTTTTAACCGAAAAGAAGTTTCTAGAATTCAAGAGTGAATAATACCGAGCGCGCAGAAACGCGGAGAGGCAGTCGTCTCTTAGACTCTTCTGTTAAAAATTCACTGTTGCATTCGATTGTGATTTTGGCCTGACGCTGGCCTACGTATCGTCATACGGAACTTTCACTGTCGATTATCAATAAACGCAGTTTAATCAATTTATTCCTTTTCTTTATTTTGCTCTCCTTACTCCATCTCAGTGATTTTCGCACATTTTTTGGTCCTTCGAGCCGGATTCGTTGTCGCGATCTCGTCGTTATCTCCGTCGCGAGTGAGCAAACTCCGGGTGCGTCGAGTGTTCGTGGCAGTGGAATCTGAAAAAGTAAGATGGAGCAATTACTTTCTGCTCAATTGCAAATCCATGGCCGCATCGCCCGTACGATGGAAAATCTCAAGAAGGCGGGAGCCGCCAATATCGGCGTGACCATGGTGCAGTCTTCCCTCTCACTTCTTGAGTCCAAGTGGAAGAGAGCTGAGGAACAACACTAC